GTTCAGGCTGGCCTTGACTCACTCTGTAGCCCAGGCTGACCTCGGACTCACAACAATCCTCCTGCCTCAGCCTCTCGAGTCCTGGGATTACAGGTGTGCACCACGACACCCGGCTTTTTTTTTTTTTTTTTGAGACAAGGTCTTGTTAACTCAAAAAATTTCCTGCCTCAGCCTCCCAGAGTGTTGGAATTACAGGCCTTCACCACCTTCTCCACCTTCTGGGCTGCCTTTAGGAAAGCGTGATGGTAAGCGTGATGGTAATAGAAGGTATCTTACTCACTTTCCTTATGCTGGGACTTAATACCAAACACCAACCAGAGAGGAGAGGTTGGGCCAGGAATTTAGCTCAGCGGCACAGCACCTGCCTGGCAAGCGCAAGGTCCTGAGTTCGATTCCCTGTACCAAAACAAACAAAAAAAAAGTGAGTGATCCAGAAAGAGGAGAGGTTTATTCTGTCTCATGCTTTTAGTACACAGTCCACTGGCTCTACGGGAGGATGGCATGGCCAGAGGGCACGGCACAGGGACCAGCCTCTTCTAACCAGACCTTGCCTCCTAACAAGTCAGCTGTTAGCCCTCTGCAATCCAGTTGCCTTCCAAAAGCCCTGCCTGTGAGGGATTAGGCTGTAGGGGGGACATCGAGATATAAACCATGACTGAAGGAAATACTCGAATATAATTGTATTTATCAAAATCCAAAACCAAATCCGTAGTCCATGGTGACAGAACAAGTCGCCGCATCGTCCTCAGTGACCGGAGGAAGCCACCGCACGCGAGTGGGCTGTCTCTGCTCGACAGCCCTGCGCGGGAGACCTGCCCCTTACCTCGGGGCAGCCTTTGGCAGTGGTGTTTGAGTAGCCAGCTGGCGATGACAAGGACTTACCCCAGAGGAGCGTCTGCTCGCCAATAGAAGAGCACCGCCGGAAGGTGAAAATCCCAGCCATGTCAAGGGGGAGGCAAAAGGAGCGGGTAGGTGGCTCCATCTCTTCGCCCTTCAGGAAACGGTGCGGCGTTGGTCAAGCAGGCAGAGGCAGTGAGAGGGACGTGGCATTGACCCTCTCAGGCTATGCTAGGAGCACAGGGCCAGCAGACACAGTAAACAACCCGGAGCTGTACAGGGCACAGAAAGTCTGAACCTGCAGCTTAGAAACTAGTGTCCCAGCACTTGGGAGGCTGAGGCAGGAGAACCACCATGAGTTTGAGGCCAGCCTGGACTACATAGGGAGATACAGTCTCAAAAAAAGAAGAAGAAGGGGCTGGGGATTTAGCTCAGCGGCACAGCACCTGCCTGGCAAGTGCGACGTCGTTAGTTCAATTCCCAGTACCAGAAAAAAAAAAAAAAAAAAAGAAGAAGAAGAAAAAGGCGTTTGTTTACTGAGTATTTACTATATGCAGAGTTCTAAAAAATGAAAGCCATTTATTAAAGAGCACCATCAGGTGCCTGCCACTGGACAAACAGTGTGGTTGAACCGTCAATGAGACGGTTCTCTGGACACTGCTACCGACAAACTGTTCATCCCGATTCCCCCTGTGGGGCTCCCAGGGAGCTGTCCGTCACCACACACGAATGCATTCCATCTGTGATGGTTGTACACATTGTGTGTGCAGATCTGTTAGCAGTGAGAAGTGAGGGGCCACCTGTTCGCCCCGCCCCTGCCCCAGGTCAGTGTTCCTGTCTCCCTCATGTAAATCTCAGCCACACTCTGACACTGGTGGTAGGAGGGTTCCGATTTTCCGGTAGAAGAAATTGAAGCTCAGTGAGGCAGCTCATCCTCAGGGATGTGAAGGTGTGTGTTGTGTGCGTGTGTACACATGTGTTCGTGTGTTCTCCAAAGTAGTCAGCTGGCAAAACTTAAGCCTGCTGTTCCATGTCCCTGGTAATGTTTATCGCTGGGTTTTATGAACTGGACTGCAGCTCGGCTGTGGATTAGGTCACCACGTATTGCCAAATGGAGAAGCGGTAGGTGTAATAATGGTGCCCGAACTTCCCCATCCATAAAATGGGGCCAGGGTCATGCTCACATGAGTATCTTTGGGGCTGGGGGTGGAGCACTGCTTCGCATAGTCCGGGCCCTGGCTTCCATCCCCAGCCCCCCTAAAAAGGATTTTGACAGTGACTTTACTAAAATGTAAAATATAGACAATATCTAATATGTGCGTTACATATAATCACCTAGAATGGGCTCGAGCACATTTTTTCTACTATATTTATACAGATTTTGTGAATTTTCCATCACTGATGTGTAACAGTTGTAATTTTGCTCCCTAACCGCTTCTCCACTTCTTGCAGCATTGTTATCAAGACCAAAGATTGGAGCTGGGCGTGGTGGGGTGTGCCTGTAATCCCAGCACTCGGGAGGCTGAGGCAGGAGGATCGTTGTGAGTTCGCGGCCCGCCTGGGCTACAAAGTGAGCTCAAGGCCAGCCTGCACTGCATAGCGAGACCCTGTCTCAAAAAGACGACAAAAAAAAAAAGACCAAAGATTGGAGACCTGGAAAGGTTTAAGAGACTTTTTAGTACGGCCCCCCAAGAGAATCCTCTCAGCGTCCTTTAAACTTATAAAGTTCTTGATTGGAATAGTTACTCACGTAGATGCCAGTTCTATTTTGCTGTGCACTGTACCCCTTCTCCTTATGTGGGAAGAAGATGGGCCCCCCACACACTGAGAATGGATCCCCAGAAGTGAAAACAGAGTTCTTTGTACATTTCATTCTCCCATATGAGCCCAGGGAAGGTGTCTGGAACCCGGCATGTGAATTAAAGTTCGTTCTCAGCTGTAATTACCACTTTCTTTCTTCCCACAGGGGCTAAACTGCACAGTCAAGAATAGTAAGTCCTCTTTTTCTGGGTTTGGTTTTTTTTTTTGGTTTTTGTTCCACTTCTTGTTTTGTTAATGAAGCAATAGGCTTGTGCTGATTTCTGGCAGAAGCTCCGCGGCCCCATTCCAAGCTCAGACCATGCGCCATCACTACCAACAGGCAAATCTCAGATGTAGGCACCTGCGCCTCCCGTGGAAAACATTCATATGCAGAGGTCAGGCAGTGGGAATCAGAGTTGTCATTTTGGCGATATTCTCTGGTGTGCTGCCCTAGTGTGCCTGTAATACAATCTGACCTGCCGCAGCTTGCCACTGTAAAGTAAGACATCTGTGGTGTTGGTTTGGGTCAGGTTTTGGCTCAGGGGTAGTTGGGAGGGGGGGTCTTATTGAATTCTTTCATGCAGAGAATTTGAACATAGGCCGTTGCACATGCTAGACAAGCACTGTACCTCCCCAGCCACTTTGCATGATTCAAGGAAGGGGCAAATACCTTAAGGACCCTGACATGTAAAAATAAAGTAGCTCTTACTCCTTCCCTGTCCTCCTGCGCCCCCTTTTCCAGAGACTGCTTCGTCTCAAAACCCACCTCCCCAAATGCCTTTTAGATTCCGATCTTGGCAGTGACCCCAGATCAGCATTAGAAAAGGGCCAGCAGGGAAGGGGAGGCCAGGACCTTCCGAGGGTCACCAGGAGCCGCTGAGGGTCAGCGTAGGGTCTCCCTGCAAGTCCGCCACGGTCACCTTTCTCTGGCTGCCAGGTACCTGCCTCGATGACAGCTGGATCCACCCTCGAAACCTGACCCCCTCCTCCCCGAAGAATGTGCAGCTCCAGCTGCATCTTGCGCACATGAAGCACGGAGACCTCGTCCCTGTGGTACGCGTCGAGTGGACGCTGCAGACAGATGGTGAGTGGGTGCCCAGCCGGGTCCTAGGGGAGCCCCCCATCTCCACACGCACCCACAGTCCGGACCATCCGGCCTCCCATTCAGACTCAGCGCTGGAGTCCCAAACCCGTGCTCAGACAGAGGGCTCAAGTCTGGTGCAGGAAGGACCCCTCATTTCATTCGGTTAATACTTTTTCAATGTTTTAAACATGAACCCCCTATAGCAGCTTCCAATCATACTATCCTTTATGAAAGCCTTTCTTTCTTTCGTTTTTTTTTTTTGTCTTTTTTTTTTGGTTTTTCTCCGGTACTGGGAACCGAACTCACGACCTTGCGCTTGCCAGGCAGGTGCTTTGCTGCTGAGCTAAATCCCCAACCCCCTTTTTTTTGTGTTTTTGAGACAGAGTCTCGATATGCAGTTCTCTGGTACTAGGAATCGAACTCATGACCTCAAGCTTGCCAGGCAGGCGCTGTGCCACTGAGCTATATCCCAGGCCCCTAGCTATATCCCAGGCCCCTTGACCTCACTTTGTAGCCCAGGTTGGTCTTGAACTCACAACAATCCCCCTGCCTCAGCCTCCCGAGTGCTGGGATTTCAAGCGTGCGCCACCACGCCCGGCTAAAAGCCTTTCTTTGACGCAAAATTTTCATTACCTGGGGTGAGGGGGTGAGCGAGCAAGTGGTTCACTTTATAAGTAACTCCAAATATTTACTAGAAAAATTGTAATAGCCACCCAGCTATTTCCCTTTACTGGAGCTGGTACTTTGTAAGATCCCCCAGAGTTCCCCAGGGACCAGGAGTCTGATTATAGAATTGGGACGATCGGGGCTAAACCAGAGCCAGCCCCAGGTTTGTGAGCAAGTTGTGGAGTCGGTCCTCTGAGTCCCCATCCTCTGCGAGGATGGCATGCTGGTCACGTGTGATGCCATGCCGTGCTGCCAGCACGCTAGCCACAAGTTTGCAAGTCGTCTGCTGCTGGCCCAGGGTAAAGTGTCGCATGTCCTCCAGCTGGGAGCAGCTGTCTTCAGGGCCGTAGGCTGAGGCCAAGAGTGAGCCGAAGGGAACAGGAAGTGGGCAGTTAGGTAAGATGGGCAGATCTTTCAGAAGTGAGTAAGCACAACACATGGGGAAGTGGCACCACCCGCGAGCCCAGTGACTTGTCTCCTCCTCCTCCTGACCGCAGCCAGCATCCTGTACCTTGAGGGCGCCGAGCTGTCCATCCTGCAGCTGGACACCAACGAACGTTTGTGCGTTGAGTTTAAGTTTCTGTCCAAACTGAATCACTACAAGCGGGTAAGACACAGCTCCTGAAGGATTGTGTTCCTTGGTTGATGCCAGGGTAGATTTGTCCCCTCACCGGGACCTCAACTGAGAATGCGCAAGGCACAAAGGTGTTCGAGGGTCTAAAGAATTCAAGGTAGTTACCTCCAATGGGACAGGGTGTGTCTGCTATGAGTGACAGCCCAAATACCCCACCCCTGCTTTTCCCCCTGTACCTAGGTATTTTTCTCCCCCAGTGCTGGGGATGGAACCAGGACCTCAGAGCCACAAAGCACATGCCATACCTCTGAGCTACACCCCAGCCTTTAGCTGTCCATTCTTTGTTTGTTTTTGTTTCTCTGGTACTAGGAATCGAACTCATGACCTCAAGCTTGCCAGGCAGGCGCTGTGCCACTGAGCTATATCCCAGGCCCCTAGCTGACAAGAAAAAACTTTGTTCCCGCCAAGACCTGCTGTGAGTGGGGTACTGCAGCAGTGTAGGCTTGCTTGTGGCTGCTAACAGCTAGCAGATAAAATGCTGATTCTTGTTTAGTTAGTTGGAAGATACTTCGGTTCCAAAGTGTGTTCCCTGGACCACCACCATCACCCGAGAATTGGTTAGAAATGTTTATTGCCAGGCCCCACCCTATACCTTCAGAACCAGAAACTAGAGGGTGGGGCCCCGGCAGTTGGTGTTTAACGCCCTCTGGGTGATTCTGATGCCTGAGCTAGTTTGAAAATGACTGGTTTAAATCTGCAAATAGAAGCTGCAAAGCAAGTTAGGGCCTGGGTGTGGTTCAGTGGGAGAGCTCTGGCCAAAGGAGCATAGGAGGGCTTGGGCTCCATCCTCAGTACAGCAAAAACAGACACACAGGCAGGCAGGTAGGCAGGCAAACAAAACAAGTTACATGTCCCGAAGACACACAGCGGAGACAGATCCCCTGCAGTGTGAAAGGCACCGAAGCTCGCTCTACTGCTTCGTGAAAGATGAGCACCAGGTTCCTAGATCTACTTAGAAGCAAAGGGCACCTAAGGTCATTAGAGATGGAGCCAGACAGAGTGGGACTCACCTGAGGTCCCAGCTGCTCCAGAGCCTAAGACGGGAAGGTCTCTGAGCCCAGGAGTTTGGGGCCAGCCTGGGCACCATAACGAAACACAGGTCTCTCAAAATAGAAAGGAAGTTGGAGTCACCATCTGGATCGGTGCCTTCTGGAAGCCAACTCAGCACAGCTCCGTTATCTCTGAGTAAGGGCGCCAGGGGTCCAGGGTGAGTGGGGAGCTCCACCTCTCCCTCTGCACTTACCTGCTACCGAGAGGTCACCTGCTGTCCCTGCAAGAAGAAAGTCATTCGGCAAATTATTTTTCGCTACCTCTTTTGCTCCAGGTCTCCCAGCTCAGGTGTCTTACACCCTTTGTCCTGGAACTGCACGGGGCTGATGGGAGCGGGGAACCACCTCCGCTTTCCCCCAGTTCTTTTTTTTGGTGGGGAGGAGGTGCTGGAGATCCAACCAGAGCATGCAAAGTAATGGCTGCACCACCACGCTCACCCCACCCTCCCGTCCTTCTCTTGCATGCAACAGTACTCTCTACTGATGAGGCCAGGTGTAGATTATTTAAAGAAAAAAAAGGCAGGGAGAGCAGAGGAAATAAAGGATAAGGGTACTGGGCCCTGAGTTCAGATTCTGTTGTGGTTGCTTTGTTCTAATTTTGATTGATGTGGGAGAGTAGATGGCGATAAGGTTCTTTGCACACGGGGTGAGACAGGGGTACCTGTGACTCTTCCCTTTGTCCCTTTCCTTCAGTGGCATTTTACCTTTGACCACTTCGTGGTTGACCCTGGCCAGGAGTATGAGGTGACCGTTCACCACCTGCCCAAGCCCATCCCTGACGGGGACCCCAACCACCTGTCCAGGAATGTCCTTGTGCCCGGTAAGCGCGTCCTCCGAGCCCTTCCGTGCTCCGTTCAGCCCCGGGAGGAGAAACTCGTGGGTGCCGCTCGGCTGAACGCTGGCTGCCGTGGCCCGGCATGGTGCCTGCAGAGAGCGCGGGTGCCGGGAGCTGGGCGTCCTGGGTGTAAAGCTGCAGGCTCCTGACAGCACAGCCTGTTCTCCATTAGCACAACACAGGAGACGGGCCCAGGATCCTAGGAGTTTGATGGGAGCCAGACTTCTCGCTCTGTCTCAGCCCAGGAAGTGTCGGGAAGACAAGCCGCTCTGGGAAGAGTGGGGCCCAGCGCCCAGCCTCCCTCACATTCCCCCATACTCCCCCAACGTCCAGCCTGCACTTACCCAGCACCCGCCCCATGCGTCGCACCCCCTTCTCCCCCACCGACACCCTGCCCACAACTGCTGCCAAGTTCATCCTCTGAAACATCCCCTGACACACGCACACCTGCCCCTCCACTGTCCCCAGAATCTCAGCCATTGCCTGCAGCATTCCTCCTGTGTGTTTAGTTGGTTTTTGTTTTTTTGCAAAGTTTATTCGAAAGAGTAAGCTGGGAGTGGTGGTGCACACCTGTAATCCCAGTACTCGGGAGGCTGAGGCAGGAGGATCCTTGTGAGTTGGAGGCCAGCCTGGGCTACAAAGTGAGCTCAAGGCCAGCCTGAACTGCATAGTGAGATCCTGTCTCAAAAAGACAAAAAAGAAAAAAACAAAACGAAAGCGTAAAAGTGAAGAGCAGGGGTGAAACTGGCTCTGCAGGACGAGCTTGGGCAGAGTAAAGAGAGAAAGAGGATAAAAACAGAAATGAAAGTCCACGCTGCGTCTGAGAAACACAGCACGGGCTTCGTGGAAAGTGACAGTAGCCACCATTTCTCATCATTCAGAGCCAGCTGCATTGACTGCACCCACTGCGGACAAGGTCCAGCCTTCCTCCCGTTTGTGTAATGTCCAGAGCCTCAAAGAGGACCTTGAATATAGTGGGCAGGAGGTGCTGCTTGTTTTTGTTTTGTCTTATGGTGTAGGGTAGAACTGAGCGCCTTGCACATACCTGGCAAGTGCCCGACCACCAAGCTGTACCCCAGCCCGGGACATGCTTGCTGAGGACTTTCTTTGCCATGAGGCACACACGCATACGTTCGCATACACAGGCTGCATGCGAGTCCCTGATGTAATATTATATGCTCTGGGCTTTTATTGGTCTCGTCTATTAGAATGCCACCTCGAGAGGGCCAGGACTTGGTCCTCCTCACCACTGTGTGTCCGGTCCTCAGGACAGTCACAGTGTGCAGAATGGCTGCATGAGTCTTTTGTGAATGGACGAGTCTCCCAACATGGCCCTCTCCTGTCCCTAAAGCAGACTGACTCGGCCCCTGTCCCTCTGCGGTGACTCACATATGCCACGTATGTTCTTATACCAAAGTAAAAGCGTTTTGGGCAAGGATATGGGAGAAGCAGGACAGGGCTCTAACTGTGGAACCTTGGCCCCAGGCACAGTCCGTGGGCCAGCACCCTCCGCAGAGTGTCTGAGAACTTGCTAGAGCGTCTCAGTTCAGATCTGCCGAGTCAGAGACGGGGGATGACAGGGCCGCGGAGGCTGATGGGGACAGCCCAGAGAAGGCAAGGGCAACCCGGGTGGCGCAGCTGCAGGCCAGGAGAGGAGGAGCTGAGGGCACCAGGCCTTCGCTTTCAGCACTGCGCAGGAGAATGCTAGGTCAGGAGGTGTCCTTGGAGAGGAGGACAGAGGCGGCCAGGGTCCTCCAATCCAGTGCCCAGCACCAGCAGCAGTCCAGCCCTGGATCATGCTGCAAAGCGGCCGTAGAAGAGGCTCCCAGGAGGAAAGGGACTGTGAACCCGGGGTCAGGAGCCTGGAAGACCGGGCTTCCCAGGGCAGAAGCCTAATGATGTCTTTCTTCTGGACCTGCAGACTGCAAGGACCCCGAGATGAAGATGACCACGGCTTGTCTGAGCTCAGGTAACTGGCTGGCGGGGGAGCTTCACCCGGGGCACACAGTACAGGGCAGCGGGGCAGGCAGCTGAGCCAGGCCGGGTGTGTGCGCGCTGGGATGCATGCACACACGCATGCACGCGGGGACGCGCCCCTTCTCCCAGCCTGCGCCTGCGTCCTTGCAGGCAGCCTGTGGAATCCCGACATCACCGTGGAGAACCTAGAGGCCGAGCAGCTGTGGGTGAGCTTCACCCTGTGGAACGAATCCACCCACTACCAGGTCCTCCTCCACAGCTTTCCCCACACAGAGAACGTCAGCTGCTTCGAGAGCGTACTGCAAATACCTGCGGTAATTCTCCGCCACCCCTTCCTTCCTCTCTGCTGTCCCTCCTCCCTCCCTTCTTCCCTCCTTCCTTCCTTTCTTCCTCCCTTCCTTTTTTTAAATTTTGAGATAGGGTCTCACTGAGTTGCCTAGGCCAGCCTCAGACCCACAACTCTCCTGCCTCAGCCTCCTGAGCACTGGTGCTACAGATATGTACTACCACTCCCAGATTCTCTGCCACTTTCTTAAATGCTCTGCCATGTTCAAGGCCCCCTGTAGAAGCCTCAGGCCTCCTTTCTGCTGGGCCTGGCAGAATCATGTTGCCACAAGCTCAGAGCATCAAGCATGCCGGTGGACAGTTCCATCCTCCTCCATCCTGCCGAGACACAGGGGACTCGCTCCTGTACTTGGTTCTCTAGTTGATGAGATGGAGTTGATTGTGCCCTGCCCACCACCCCAGTCTTTTGTTCTTCCTGCCCCCCATGCTTCCCTGTTCTCCTTTTGTTTGGCCATGTCCACTTTATTCCAAAAGAGATTTGATGATTTAAAAAAAGAAAGAAACATAGAGGTTAAGACCAAGGGGGAGCCAGGCGTGGTGGCACACGCCTATAATCCCAGCACTCGAGAGGCTGAGGCAGGAGGATCTTTGCAAGTTTGAGACCAGCCTGGGCGACAAAGTGAGCTGAAGGCCAGCCTGAACTGCATAGCAAGACCCTGTCTCAAAAAGACCAAGGGGGAGATAAAGTAAAAAACAAGGTGCAGCCAGATTAGTGCAGGAAATGAGGTGCTGGTCTGTACACCTGCCGGGTGTGAACACAGATTGGGGCCCTTAGTCCCCAGCAGCGAAAGCCAAGGGGAACCGACCCGTTACTGGATGAGCTGTGACCTGACTAACACCAGCTGCCCTGCAGAAATCTCAAAAGCATTCCTCCCTCTGGCCTTGCACGGGGTGCGCTGGTCCGCGGAGGGTCACGTCCCCAGCAGCGTCATCATGGACGTGCCGCAGGAAGTTCATGCTCAGCCCACCTCCCCATCCTCTCCTCTCCAGCCCAGACAAGAGGAATTCCACCAGCGCACCAACATCACGGTCCCGCTTCACCACTCCGCCTGGTGCTGCCGCCACCGCGTGCAGGTAGGCGGGTGCAGCAGGCAGGTGTGGAAGGGCGTGCACAGGGCGCCCTCCTGCTAACGGACGGAGCCCTCCAGGAACCCCGTGCTGCTGCTGTCTGGGGTTCCCTGGCTGGCAAGATGCTTTCTCTGCCTTCACCTGCCCGTTCTCCCAGCTTCACCTGCGTGGAGCTCCTTTAGCCACTTGTCACCCATGGGAGACTTGTGCCCTCCACGAAGGTGCATTCCTCGCAAGTGGCCTCCGCTGGCTTGGTGGATGTGTCTCCGCCTCCCTCGGGCCCCTCTTCCCTGCCCCTCCTCTGTTCTCACAGGTACAGCCCTTCTTCAGCACCTGCCTGAATGACTGTCTCAGATACTCTGTGACCGTCCCCTGCCCAGAGATGCCACCGACCCCAGGTAGGTGGGACAGTCTCAGGTGAGCACGGGGAAGGCAGTCCACTTGAGTGGAAGCCTGGCCCGGTCCTAGGGACAGGCAGGAAGAGTTCATTGACCTAGGAGGGATTCAGGCTTGGAGCGGAGTTCAGCGCTACACCCCCAGGTTGGACTCCTGATTGCCTTTCACAAGCCGTCACCCTTGGACAGAATATTCAATCTTGATTAGGAAGTAAAATGGTTGCTATCGTAGAACTATATTTATCCTCAGGCAGAATCACAAGACTGTGAAATAGAGACTGCCCCATACCAGGTTCGCCCCCCAGGGCCTGTGAAACTGTTTGCCCAAGGTCCCATAGGCCAAGGACACGGCACGGCCCCATGTTTCTACCTGAGCCTATGGGACGCAGCAGGCCGCTCCCCCGGCTGCTGCCGGCTTGTCGTCCTGCAGAAGCCACTTGCTCCCAGTTCATACAAAGCCATTGCCATGGATCCAACCTGGAAATGTGGCCCCGGGGCTGGAAGTGAACCCAGCTGCCCTGCAGGAGGGACGGCGCTCTTAGACCAACAACGGAAGGTGCTAGTGTAGGACTGTAGAGGTCGCGTGGTGTGTGGCCCCTGTCTGCAGTGCGGGGTACAGGGTCAGGGTCACTATAGCCTCAGTAGCCCCCGGGGGTGGGTTTTGTCATGGCTGCTAATGATTAAGAAGCATTTTCGCTTTCTCCTTCTGTCCTTGCAGCTGCCGTTGCAGGTAAGTGCAGCTGTCCTGCGCCCCGCGTCAGGGCCCATCCCCCAGGGCACACAGGCGTCCCCAGCTGAAGCAGGCAGACAGAGCCGAACCCGAGCCAGCCCGGCGGGGGTGAGGTCCCCAGAGAGGCCGGTGCAGGCCAGACGACAGAGCCCGGAGCGGGGAGCGGGGCTGGCCCTGTCTGTCTCTCACGCTGCTCTGCCCACGCAGACCACATTCCCCTGTGGGGCTACATCTTCATCACGGGCGTCTCCATCCTGCTGGTGGGCTCGGTCATCCTGATGATCCTCTGCCTGACGTGGAGGCTGCCAGGTAAGGGCCCGAGGCTCTGGGCTTAGGGATGGATGCCCGTTTCTCACCTTCTCCCTGGGTCCCCCTGGCCCCTGTCCCGCTCCAGGCCCACCCCTGGACCATTGCCATAACCTGTGCTCGGAGGGCACCCATCAGCCCAGCCCTGTGGCTTCACGTTCAGCCAACACACTGCCCACACCAGGCACTCAGTTGTCAGGAACGCAGAACCTGCATCGGGCCGACCTGGGCTCCAAGACCAGCTACCCTGCAGGCTATCATGGGGTGTTCCTTGATTCCTACAGCCTTGCGTGTGTCCTGTGTAAAACGGCAGTGATAATGATACTCACATCATAAAGCTCTTGCTAAGGGTTGAGTGGGATAATGTCCATAAATTCTCAGCATGGAACTGGAATGTGACATCTGCACAGTAGCTATCAGCCAACTATTGCTATTAAAATTGGTAGTACAGTGTTAAAATCAACAGGTTGGAAGGAGCTAGAGGGGATTTCCCTCATCAGGAATGATTGATCAGTCAGACAGGTAGAGCAGCCTGAACAACCCCATCCTGCAGCCCCCAGACTTGTACATGGGAGGTCAGGGAGCAAACAAGGAACAGCAGGATGTGATAGAGAGACTCATGCTCTGGACCCTGAGCTTTCAGGTATAGATCTCCTCTCAGCCTTACTAGCTTTAAGAGTCACTTAACAAACCTTAGGCTTGCTTTTCCTTTCTGTAAAATGGGATAATACTATAATGCCTCCCTCTCAGGGCTACAGTCAGAGTTTACTGAGATGGCCAAGGTGCATGCTAGTGGGGATTAGTTAATACCAGTTCCTTTCCTCTGTACCCCTCTGCTGGCCAGCTCTGGTCCAGGAGAACAGGAGTCCTCAGCTTAAGTCCAGTCCTTCCCTGCTCCTGTGTGACTCCAGGCTGCATCGTCCATTACCTGAGAAGTTGGGATTTGTATTGTGTCCAGAGGGTTATTGGAAGGGTCCAGTAACATCTCAGCTCGTACTTTATAAACCGTAAGAGTCTCCTGTTATTGCACTCTTGTTTTTTTTTCAGTGCTGGGGTTAAACCCAGGACTTCATGCGGGCCAAGCAAGTGCTCTACCCCTGAGCTACACCCTGAGCTTCTATTGCACTTCTGACCTTCCCTGAGCCGCCCCCACGCCTCACTTTTCGGTTTTCCCCTGCACTGGAGACTGAACCCAGGGCCTACGCACCAAGCAACAGCCCCAGTAGCCCCCTGCCCCTTATTTTGAGATAGGATCTCCCTAACTTACTCAGTTGCCCAGGTTGGGCTAGAGCTTGTGGTCCTCCCGCCTTAGCCTCCCAGAGTGCGGGGCTTATGCACCCCCACACCCAGCCACGTCACCATTTATCGGATGCTCGTTCTGGCAGTCTCAGAAAAGGCCCAAAGGGTGGGGATTGAAATGAAGATTCTGAACCTCCTGCTTAGGGTTAGGGTCGAGGCTTAGCAGTAGACCACTTGCTTAGTATGCGTGAGGCCCTGGGTCCCATCCCCAGCACCACCTAAACAAACCAACGCACAAGTCTCCGGCTTGGGCATCTGTGGGTTCTGCGTACCCCGACTGTCCCAGAGGGGTCACTTCCTCCACACAGTGTTTTCATCACGTGTCGGAAGGGACAGTTTCCCAAGCGTGTGGGTGTCCCCGCCTCACCTCAAAAATCCCAGGAGGAAGTGTTGCAAGTGACCTAGTGGGGCTGTTCATGGAGAGAAGTGTCCACTTCCAGAGAAGAGCTCTGCCTCGACTGTAGTGTGTTCACAGGAGCCAAACTGCAGGCAGGCAGGGATGGAACTGTGGGCGAGGGGCCAAGGAGGAACCGCCAGCCCTAACCTGGGGGCCCAGCTGGGTCAGTGCCACAGAATAACCACAGGGACCCCAGCTGGCGGAGTACCTGTGGTGTACAGGGCTCTTCTCATGCCTGGTCTCTCCTGATGCTCCCCCAGACCTGTTTTACGGAGGAAGAGCTGGATCTCCGAGGCAGTAGTAACCTTCCCAGGCCACACAGCTGGTCGCGGCAGACCCAGCACACAGGCCTGTAAAGGCCAGAAGCCTCTAGTGACCTCCGCAGGGCACAGCTCCTTGTCCTTGTCCCTGCTGCAGACACACCAAGCTGGTCCTTGTCCTTGTTAGGAAGAGCTGCTGCAGGGCCGGGGATATAGCTCAGCGGCACAAGCGCCTGCCTGACAAGCGCAAGGTCCTGAGTTCAATTTCCGGTACCAAAAAACAAAAAGGAAGAGCCGCTCCAATGCATTTCTTTCCCTTTCAGCATCTCACCACGAGAAGGGTGGTAACAGCACCAAAGGCGCTGGTCAGTATCCTCGGGCTTGTTTGCTCTGTATCTGTTTCTAACCGTGAGTGTTGGGGTCTCAAGATAGAGGAGTGGGCTGGGGAGATAGCTTAATGGCACAGCACCTGCCTAGCAAGCACAAGGTCCTGAGTTCGATTCCCTGTACCAAAAAAAAAAAAAAAAAAAGATGGGTGGGTCCTGTAGGGGACAACTTCTTCCATACCAGTACCTCTGCAGTACCCTTCAGCAGGGTTCCAGCACCCCACAAAGAGGGCTTTTAGGGTGTGTTCAGTCACTCAGATATCTAAGGTAAGGAAGGTGAGCATACCATATTTGTTTAAAAAAAGGAAGAAGAGGGGCTGGGGATTTAGCTCAGTGGCACAGCGCCTGCCTGGCAAGCGCAAGGTCGTGAGTTCAATTCCTGGTACCGGAAAAATAAAAGGAAGAAGAAACGTCCTTGACATTTCTATTCTGCAGGCAGGTCTGGTGCCTTTTTTTTCTTTTTGCAATTAAAGTGTAGGCTAAAGCCCACGTAGGAATGTACAAGCACGATCCTTTTTCACATGAAGCACCGACCTAGCCTTCTCCTCAGGCTAAGGAGCCAGGCTGTACGATTGGTCCCGGCTCCTCGGAGGCTGGCCGGCAGGGGTCACAGCCTGCCCGGAGGCCAGGAGCCTGTGCGTGGCCTCACTCCCTTTGCTTCCCCTAGATGTCCTGCCAGTGGCTGCCCTGAAGCCCCCACCCCTGAAGCCCAGGAAGGTCTGGATTGTCTACTCGGCCGACCACCCTCTCTATGTGGACGTGGTCTTGAAGTTCGCCCAGTTCCTGATCACCGCCTGTGGCACCGAAGTGGCCCTTGACCTCCTAGAAGAGCAGGTCATCTCAGAGGTGGGGGTGATGACGTGGGTGGGCCGCCAGAAGCAGGAAATGGTGGAGAGCGACTCCAAAATCATCATCCTGTGTTCCCGCGGCACCCGGGCCAAGTGGCAGGCTATCCTGGGCTGGGAGGAAGCCGCCGTCCGGCTGCGGTGTGACCACGAGAAGCCCGCCGGGGACCTCTTCACCGCCGCCATGAACGTGATCCTGCCCGACTTCAAGAAACCAGCCTGCTTCGGCACCTACATCGTCTGCTACTTCACGGGCATCAGCAGCGAGAACGACGTCCCTGACCTCTTCCACATCACCTCCAGGTACCCTCTGATGGACAAGTTCGAGGAAGTGTACTTCCGGATCCAGGACCTAGAGATGTTTGAGCCCGGCCAGATGTGCCGCGTCAGGGAGCTGGCGGGAGACAGCTACCCGCAGAGCCCCAGCGGGAGGCAGCTCCGGGGGGCCGTGGAAAGGTTCCGGGAGTGGCAGATCCAGTGCCCCGACTGGTTCGAGCGTGAGAGCCTGCATTCAACCGATGACCAGGACCTTTCTTCCCTGGATGAAGAGGTGTTTGAAGAGCCGCTGCTGCCGCCGGGGGAAAGAATTGTCAGGCAGAAGCCCCTGGTGCGAGAACCTGCCCCCGAGGGCTGTCTGGTGGTAGATGTAGGCCTCGGTGAGGGACGCAGGGGAACATCAAAGCTAGGGCCCCAGCTGCAGCCTGCGGGGGAGCTGGAGGCCGGGCCCCTGAGGACCCTGGTGCTGCCGGTGGAACCCGTCCCTGCGGCTCAGGTAGTGGAGCTAGCCCAGCTCTCTGTGGGGAGCGGCACAGCCCGCCGGCTGGCCGTGGTGCAAGGTGAGGCCTGCCCGCCGCTAGGGGGCAGCAGCCCGCGGCGGAACAGCGTCCTCTTCCTCCCCGAGGACCCCGAGGACCCCGAGGACTCACCTCTCTGCAGCACTCCAGTGGCATCACCTGATCATCTGGATGATGGGAGGGAGCAGCTAGAGGGCTTGATGTTCTCGCTCCTGCAGCAGAGTCTGGGCAGCCGGGCCCAGGAGGGCTGGGAGGAGCCTATTGGAGTCCTCAAGGGCCCCTTTGAAGAGGAGCAGCGGCAGTCGGTGCAGTCTGACCAAGGCTATATCTCCAGGAGCTCCCCGCAGCCCCCAGATGGGCTTGCAGAAATGGAAGAGGAGGAGGAGGAGGAGGAGGAAGATCAGGTCCTGCGGAAGCCAGCTGAGCAACTGTCTCCTGAGGATCTGCAGACCCTGAGGAGCCTCCAGCAGCAGCTTTTCTTCCAGGAGCTCCAGAAGCACTCTGGCTGGGACAGTAGAGGGTCAGAGAGGCCAACCGCAGGAAGACAGACTCCCTCCTAGGGCCTCCTGGTCCTGAACCTGAAGATGGTGTGTGTGTACACAGAGGTGTACACGCATGTATATATGTATATATGTATTTTTTAAATGTAGACGCTTTAGCTGGGTGCAGTGGCCCATACCTGTAGTCCCAATTGCTTGAGAGGCTGAGGCGGTAAGATCGCTTCAATCTAGCTAGGTAACATGGAGAGACTTGTCTCAAAAATAAGTCAATAAAATAAAATGTATACCTCTTGGCTCTGCTCCCTGGCCTCCTCCCCTTGACTTCGCTTTGTATAACTACCTGGTCACGTGTGTCCCCGCAGGAAGCCATAGCCTACTCTCAGGAGCCCAGGGCTGTTCGTTTTGCAACTACTATGTGTTAGGCCACTGATGTCAAACCCTTTGGAGCTTTCAGCTGTTGCACTCCTGCCGTAGGTTCGCCACCACCTTGTTAGGCACTTGGAACACAACAAATTGTGCTCAGTGTGGCCTTGGCCGTCAAGGACCATGACATCCATTGAGAATGGTGAATCAGCAACCCTATGAGTCACAAAAGACAGGCTGAGCAGGACCGGCCATAAGGACACGCAGGACAGGCTCCTCGCCCTGGGAGACTACTGGATGAGTGAGGTCTGGAATCCGGGGGAAGCTAGTGCACTAGGTCACAGATGTCCTGTTCCTGAAGGGATGAAGGGAAGAGGAGCTGGAGTAGAAGAAGAGAGGTTACGGGTGGGGAAGAAGCCAGAGCTCAGGGTGGGAGAAGCCTTGGGGGCTCAGGCTGTGAGGCCGGCTGGGGACACCCTTCCTAAGAGGAGCTGCTGTCCTACTACGGGTTGCCCCATATCACTGTTAGAAAGGGACAGGGTAAACTGGGCATGGTGGCACACATCTGTAATCCCAGCACTCGGGAGGCTGAGACAGGAGGATTGTTGCAAGTTTGAGACCAGCCTGGGCTACAAGGTGAGCTCAAGGCCAGCCTGAACTGCATAGCCAGACCCTGTCTGAAGAAAGACAAAAAAAAAAAAAGGGTCGGTAGAGACAGGTGACGGCAAACCTAACGGTGTCCAGCTGACAGCAGAATCGGGGCCCTGAATGCATGTGCAGCGGGCAGTCAACAGCAGGTATGGGATTCTGCAGGCTGCCTGCCCAGCGGCCCCCAGAAGCCGGGAGCCTGGGACAGAGTAAAGTGAGGGACTGCTGTAGGGGCAGAGGTGGGGACAGTCACAGTCGGCACAGGCCCTGTGGGGGCAGAAGAAAGCGGCCACTCGTATTTAAAGGCCTAGGGTTCAAGGCGGCATTTGTGGAGAGACTGTAGGGATGGATGGTGTGATGCAGTTCTGGAGCGCCTGCCTGGGGCACTTCTTCCTGAAGGCTTGTTTCTGTCTGAGAGTCTTGAAGAACATGTACAGGTGACCTTGAAGTAGCCTGTTCTCCATTGCTTGTGCAGTGGTCTTTAACTGTCCTTTGCAGCTTTGGCAGG